AGCAAACGGTCAAGCCGAGGCGGCCAACAAAAGTATCCTCCATAGGTTGCACACCCAGTTAGCGGGCGCCAAGGGTAAATGGGTTGAGGAACTGCCAAATGTGTTGTGGGCACACCGCACAACATACAAGACAGCCACCGGGGAAACACCCTTAGCCTTGACCTACGGTAGCGAGGTTGTCATCCCAGTGGAAGTCAACCATTCAAGTTACCATGTTGTCCAGACAACCCAAACGGCAATGACGAGGCGCGAATCAGCGAATTGGACATGGCAGATGAGTCAAGGGAGGTGGCAGCAATTCGCCTGGAGAAGATGAAGCGACAAGTGGCCCGGTACTACAACAAAAAGATGCGCGCCCATGGCATTACTAATGGCGCCCTGGTTCTTAAACGTGATTTTCGTCCGGATGCCCGCGAGGGGAAGTTGGCACCAAAATGGAAGGGCCTATATCGAGTCTGGGAGGTGGTAGGCCCCGGAACGTTCAAGCTAAAGCATACTGACGGCAAGGTGGTGAAAATAACATGGAACGCACAAAACCTACGACTTTACCGGGAGGACGCCGCAGCAGGGGAGGGCGCCTCCACTTGATCACGGGCAGTGATGATACAAGACAGTAATAGTAGTAATTGTTTGTTTATGGTAACCAATGCATAACAAGGATTCATAAAAAAGTCGATAAATTTAAACTTTAGTTGTCCATAACACTCAGAAACATCAAAATACATAAAAGGGGCAAATCATAAAAGAGGCATCGTTCGGCCTCGCAAGTAGCATCCTCGGTGTGGGGAGCTTGCTCTTCCAGAGGTGGAGACGCCTGATCTTCAGGAGTAGGAGGCGCCTGATCTTCAGGAGTAGGAGGCGCCTGGTCTTCCGGTGCGGGGGGCGCGTCTGCTGCTGGCGTCGTGGGAGCCCTCTCTTCCTCCTCCGCGCCCATCATATCCTGAATCACAAACTCGGCCATCTCTGACACATCCCAAACCTGGTCCGGGTGATCTTGGTCGAGTTTCTTCTTCAGGATACTCAGGCTACACCCTGTCGTCGACTTTCGCGTTACTAGGCTCTACGGGAACAAAGAAAAAATATTTCCAGTTTTTTGTTGTTTAAAATAATATTAAATACGGTACACGAAAGTCATGTAATATTTGGTACTTTCGTTCCATTACTTTTTTTACAATTTAGACCCCATAAGAAAACAAAAAATACAAATTTTTAGTTGGAAACCTAAAAAATACATATGATCGAGTATGTTTTAAAAAATTTCTACTGTGTATTCAATTTGTTTATGTAATCATGTATGCAAAAAATTATGTTTATATTATCAGTGACGATGCTAGAAATTTAAACTAAAGCTAAAAATATAAACTCAAGTCATTTGCACAGTAATAATTGGAGATGGCTAATACCAAAGTTTGCAAAACCTAGCAATTGGCTTCTGAAATTGGATAAAATTTCTCTTGTTTGGCTACAGTTTGATTTGGTGTGAAATCTGGTGTGGTATTTATGCTTTTAGGGAGAAAGTACAACAATACCCTTGATAACGCCATATTTGAACATGTTTTTTCTTTTATTTCTTGATCGTTAGAGCTCGCTTTCTCGCTCTCACGACCTATTTGATCCTAGGTTGTGTAGGTTGATGATTTTTCAGACCCTAGTACGTGAATGGGTGCAAACGAGCAAGTTTTGGGATGTTTTGGAGTAAACGAGCAAAGAGGAGGGAGAAATTACGGCCCGGTCTCGAAAGTTACGGTTTGGACAGTAACTTACCCTTTAGCCCGTAACTTTTGGATGAGGAAAGGCGAAGGATCCAGAAGCTATTCTGAAGTTACAGCCCAGGCAAAAAAGTTAGGTCTTGATCGTAACTTCAACCCAGAACCCGTAACTCTTGGAGGCAATTACACAGGGTTCCAGTTGCGACCGTAACTCCTCCAAAGAAGCCGTAACTCTTGGTTTACGGAGAACAACAACGAAATCGATTTAAGGAGGAGTTACGGGCTAGGAGAGGAAGTTACTTAGGCCGTACCTCGTGAATCTCCAGTTTATAAATGGGCTGTGAAAGCACGGCCTAGGAACACGGCCATGTTTTGATTTAGGTGTGCCCGTGTTTTGGCTCCAGCTTGACCGAATGACTTCCGAATGCCCCGAAACTCGTGCTTAGCCTTTCCTTTGACGCCTGGGACTTGAAATATGACAAAGTAGCACAACCCGGCGTAAAATAGGCCAAAAATACACGACTATGCCCCTCAAACGGATGAGAACTAGGGGTGCAAACATGTGCAATTATATTGTTATCAAAACCCGAGTGAGAGAGAGAGAGAGAGTGAGTGACGAAGGACAACCCTTGGACTAGGATTGGAGCAATCTGAAGACCTCGGAGCTCAATTCCTCATCCTCAGAGTACCGATTAGCCGTACGGAGCAGATATTCATTGTCTACACGATGATTTCTTCCCCTAGCATGATGTTTCCGCTTCTCTACATAGATTAAACTCCCCTTTCATCTGGGTATGAAGAACCCTAGTTTTATATGTTATGAATGGTTGTATGAACCCTCGTTTGCGAATGATTGATTTGATACATTCAATTGAGGAATTAATCAGAATTGCATGAGTCCTAATCAAACCCGTGTGATTCATGCTTTAATCTAGAAGGCTAGAATGATAGTCTATGAATAGGTTACAAGAGAAACCTTAAATTGGAAGTGGTGAATCGACTGCTTTAGTCGAGAAGTCGATTCACTGTTGTGTACTGGAATTAAAGCCAGTAGAGAAAGTTTGATGTGTTATTGCCTTGGTAGTTTATGCCGGGGGAGGTTAGTCTCCCGCCGGGTATTCGAACCAAGAGGGTCTGGTCTTCTTTAGTCGAGACTCTAGACTAGTCAAGAACTTTCCGCAATGTATCTTTCAATCTGAACAAATTGGGAACATATAATTTGAACTAGCTGCATACTAGGGTGAATCACACCTGGGTGACCTTTAGCACTTGAAAGAACCAGAAAATTACTTGCTTTTCATTTCTTTAGCTTTTAAACAACGTCACTAAACTGTTCCCGCTAGATAATAGAAGTTCACGGAGTAAGCAGTAGATGTAGAGCTCGGTCGATATGAAAACTAAACCACTGTTCTATATTTTCATCCTACGATTGCACTTGGTCATAGTTTAGTGTTGTGTTATAGCGTGTAAACCCTCAAAATTGAATTAAAAAGGGTTCCCTTTTCTCTTGCTTTGCCTTTACCCACGAAGACCACATATCATTTCCTCAACTGGTCCTCCACCCCTCCTCCCTTTTCTCTTCTCCTATCTACTCGTCTACCCCTGCAACTTATTCCTCATCGAGAAGCTACCACAACTTCGTTCTACAAAAGGCAGCAGCAGTGAAGAGCGAAGGCTATCACATTCTCCCAGCAAGGTTGACGGGTCGATGGCGGGCACAAACGGAAGGACGAAGGAAAAATTGTGTGGGTGTGGGAATGTGGCTGTTGTTCGGAGTTCGAAGACCCCAAGAAACCCGAATAAAAAATTCTATTCTTGCCGATTTACCAATCAAGTGTAAGTTTGGTAACTTCTGGTTTTTAGGGTGAATTAGGCGAAGATTGTAACATAAATAGCTATATTGATTGATGTCAAACAGAGAAGCAGATTTTGGTTGTTGGTGATTTTGGAAGGCACTGCACTAATTTCTTATGTGTTTTGACTTACAGGGATATTGTGAGTTGTTCGAATGGTGTGATGCTACTTATATGTGTGGCAAAGAAGATGAATTGTACAAGTTGATTGCAAATTTGCAGATTAAAGTTGAAGAGCTGGAGGTTGAGAAGAGTTCCCTTGTTCTAAAACTTAACGGTGAACTAGATGGTTCAGTGGTCATCCCAACAAGTTCAAGTAGTTTGAACAACAATCGTAGTGACTCATTGGACTCCAAAGTTGTAGCAGCAATTGAAAGAAGATTGTCTCGAGTGGAGAAGTATCTTGGCTTCTATGAGTGATGTTGTCTTAGTTGGGTTGAATTTGAAAGGTTGAACCTTGTTAAAGTAGATGATAGTTTAGAGTTGTAATGAATATGTATGTATGGTATGTAATGTGTTTAGTTTGTTGAACAAGATTTTTGTACTGTATGTAATGAGTTTAGTTGTTTCAATGTGAATGGTTTCTCTAAATTTATGCATCTTTCATTATAATCATGTTCTAACTGAAGCTACTTAAACTTTAACTGGATCCTAAAGCAGTAAACTAAACTTAACTTGATTTGTTTATGTACTGCCGACTTCTAACCTTGCTTCTGGAAATGCACACTACTGATTCATAAGCCTACTGCTAATAAAATGCTAACTAGTGTTGGCATTTGTTGAACTGCTATGAGTCCAGCCATCTGTCCTAGGGTATCCATAAGCTTTGCCTTCATTTCTATATGCATCTCACTCTCACCCATGGCCCTAGCAATTGTATCAACTAATTCCCTTATTAATGACTTCATCCCAATTAGATCTGATGTAACTTCATCTATGCGATCATCTATTTGCAATTTCTTCTTCTTTCTTGTTGGAACTGATGTTGAAACCTTCCTTTTACGTGCAGCCTTAGTAGTAGTTGTTTCGAACCCTTCATTAACACAACTTTAATGGCTTCAAACCATTGGAACAGCAAGTCTAAAAGGCCAATTCTCCCACATCTTCTTCGCGTCTCTAAATCGAGTCCATGAGGGACAAGCGTGAAAGTCATCTGGAGCAATGGTCTCAACATCATCTGCATCACATTGTTGTTCTTCTGGCTCAACATCTTGATATCATCTTTCAAATCTTTCTACCCCTCGTTCGTTCTTAATGAAGTTGTGAATTATGGTGCAAGCAACTACAATAGGAGTCATATCACTAGGGGAGACCAGCTAGAATCCCTAAGAATAGCCCACCACATTTTCAAAATTCCAAAAATGTGCTCTATCAAATTCCTAGCCTATGCACGCTTCATATTATAGTACTCTTCAGCTTTAGATGGTTGTCTTAGTCCTCACTCGTTAAGATGGTATTTCTGCCCACGATAAGGGGTTAAGAACCCAGTACTATTCACATAGCCACCATCACACAAATAGTAACACCCTTCATGAAATTGACAATATATGAGTTAATAGTTTCTAAAATTTATTATCTTTTAGCTAACATCAAAAGATTTGATTACAGTTTTTTACCTTCAGGCACACTAAGGCTGTTAGGCCTAGTAAGGGCATCTCGAAGAACCCTTGCATCATGGGCATAACCCTCCGAACCCGACAAGCAATGCATGAACTCCAAATCAGGAGTGCATACACCAAGCACATTCATAGTAAGGTGGTTTGTCCTATCCCTGAACCTAGTTTGGACCTTTCTCCTAGGACGCACGACCACATGAGTTCCATCTAAAGCACCAAGACAATTCTACACAAACAGGAAATTAACACATTATATACTTTTGTAAGAATTAAACCAATGAAAAAGCTAAGGCAAGGAATACAAATCTAAGAATGAAGCAATCAAAAGCTTAAAGTGTTTCCACCTATATTCGTTGCAGTTATCATAGATGGGAATTGGCTTTTCATAAAAAAACTATCGAGTTTAATGACAGACAAAAACCAATGAATAGATCTTGATATGGTCTCCCCAGGTCGCAGCAAGTTGACTGCTGATGTCTTGTTCTTCTCGTTGTATGAAATTGTGCACAGAAACGTGTAGACCATTTCATCTATGTCTTCGTCACTAGTTCTTCTCAACTGTCACTCAACAGTAAGAAGCTCCCATAACTTACTGAATAAACGCCTAATCCATTTCAACTCGGAAAAAATAGATAGTATCACACCTTCTGATCCTAAGATCTAGATGTCTTTGCCTGTCGTAATGCCTTATGGAGTCGCTATCCAGTGGTTGCCTAGCAAGTCTACGGTTTGATGAGTTTCATGCTTGAATCAGCTGGGTTAGTTCCTGTCCTAGGCTGACATAAATTATTAAAAGGTTGATGAAAGAGCTAACTGCTGCAACCACTTGTCTCCTACGTGTTGGGTTTAAAATAGATAGTCTTGACATCCTTATCGGCCAAAAACGAAACTCAATCAGCGTTCTGTTTTAATAAAAAGAGATTGAAAAGTATGGCTTGACATTCAAAGATAACCCTAACATACAGACCCAGAGTTACGAACGACAGAATCCAAGGGGAGAAAATTTACATGATAGAGCAGCGTCGCTTTCTAACCTCTCCTACTTGTCGCTGTTGTCTTAACTCCTTACCTGTCAACTGCTGTTGTCTCAACTTCAGATCGTCTACCTACGTACTCTTTTTGAAGGTCGGGCAGAAAAGAAAAGCAAAGAATAGAGAGAAAAAAAGGATGGATGAGTTTGCATGTCCTCGTCTGGCAATTACATCTAAAGCAACAAGAGGGCAATTGAGGGTTTCCAATAAAATAGCGGGATACAATAGGAAGAAAAAGTAAGTCAATCGTGGGAATGTGAAATGCAGGGGGTGGGTGCCGGTTTTTAAATTGCAACGTCTATGGGAAAGTGTCCAAATTACATGGGTCAATTACCATACTCACTTGCCCATCCAAATATGGGAATTTAGTCCAATTGCTACATTGTGTGAGAATTTATCCCAATTTCCTCATTATTTTGCGGCATCCAAACGACCCCTGTATCAGACAAGACATGTTTGGAGTCTGGAAGGTGGGTTTAGTATGTTGACATATTTTTTATATGTAATCTTTAATTCTATTTAAGGGCTTATAGTATGGGGAATTCTATAGTGTCGGGACTGTATTGATATCGTCCATTTTCTACAGGCTACACCTTATCTTTTGGCTTTCCCCGTTACTGGGCTCTACGGGAACAAAGAAAAATGATTTCCAGTTTTTTGTTGTTTAAAATAATTTTACATACTGTAAACGAAGGCCATGTAATATTTTGTACTTTTTCAATTCCTTTTTTTACAATTTAGACCCCGTAATAAAACAAAAAATACAAATTTTTGGTTGGAAACCTAAAAAATACATGAGTAAGTTTTAAAATATTTCTACGTGTATTCAAATTTTTTTGTAATCATCTATTTAAAAAATTAAGTTTATATTATCAGTGAAAATACTATAAGTTTGAACTAAAGCTAAAAATATAAACTCAAGTCATTTGCACAGTGTTAATTGGAGATGGGCTAATAAAACCTGCTGCCATGGGTACCTGACCAGCCGTTGCTAGGGATGACAATAAAACCTACTGCCATGGGTACCTGCCAGCCCGACACATTCAATGAAGGGAATCCCTGCATTGACTGGATATTGGGGGGAGTACTGGTAAAATCGAAAAATGTTTGATGGCAATCGGGTGATATGGTTTTAGACTGCCCCAATTTTATTCGGATACCTGTGGGTAATACCTGTTCCTCTGCTCGTACATCCAACATTACTATATCGAAATTTAACATATAGATATTTAATTATAACACTAAATGTACGTAGTAAATCATGAAATCAACAAATATACAATTTTAATACAATTTTAAAGCATTTAATCCTAAAATATCCATAACCCATAAGAAAAAGTATAATATTATCCAAAAAATTCATCTAAGACTTTGACACATTTATTTATTTTTTATGAATGGTTAGAGCTTTATATCATAAAAAATAGGAAGTTATTTTGTGACAAGACCCCGCCACTAAGGGAATCAACCAGAAAAGAGACATTTTTACCGAACTCAAAACCTAATAAGGGAGCCAAGAAAAGATACTAGAGCAAGCTAAATTACAGGAAAATTTCCACTTCGTCACTAGTGCAAAGTATAATCAAATCATGCTTAACTTTCATTACCACTTGTCCACGTCATTAACACTTGGAACAAATAACTATAATTTTTAAAATATATAAATAAGTAAAGGAGTGAAAGAAGAATTGGAGGGAAATAAATTATTATTTGATTTGGGTGACCACTCAATTATATTTCAGTTTGTTTTGAATTATTCTTCTTTTCATTGAGATGTTACATTTGATTTATCTATTTTTTATGTATAAAAGTACTCTTGGTGGGGTGGGTATGACTTATGAGTATGACCATGTATAAAACTATCATACCTATCAAAATTTTTTCATGTTTTAACCATACACGTCTCATACTCAGTCAATATGGGGATTCCCTACATTAACTGGTTGAGGAAGATCAGGTACCCGTGGTTGGTTTGATTTTCATCCCTAACGGGAGTTATAAATATATGCAAAAGTACATGTAAAACTTGTATTTTTTTCGAAATAGAGTAATTAGTAAGGTATTAGTCAATCTCCAATTATCACAGTTCAAATCTCTTGATATTATATTTTTAGCTTCAATTCAAATTTTTAGCACCACCACTGATAATATAAACTGAAGTTTTTTAGTTGAATAAATTTAATTTTTCGAATACACGGTAAAAATATTTTAAAACCACTAATACGTACTGCATGTGTTGAAAATTCTGCATGTGTTGAAAATTCTGCATGTGTTGTTTTTTCGATGGGTGTAAATTGAGGGGGAGGGAGGACATTGGAATAAAAGTACAAAACATGAAAACAAATATTACACGTAAAGTTACGTGGGAAACTGAAAATATCTTTTCTTTGTTCCTATAGCCCAGTAACGGGGTTTTCTTTGTTCCTATAACCCAATAACGGGAAAAGTCGAAGACCAGCTGTATCAATACAGCTCGACTCTAAAGAATTGCAGCTTATAGTTATTTTTTTTATAATGGCGATAGCCTTTTATAAACTTACACAAAGGAAAAACACAACCGAACAGAGTACACGCACAACAGGCGAAGGCAGAGAGCCAAACAATCAACCTGCATGCTGGAACAAAAACGAAACATTACGGAAACATTACAGGAAAGGAGCTGTAATCCAGGCCCTGTATACAAAGTAACAAAGAAGTCGAAGTGGGATAAGCCCGAATCTGAAATAATGCACAAACAAACAATAATTATAAATTTAACATAGGAGGGTGAAGCCATTTCCTTTTAGAAAACAACATTACAACATACCTTACTGCAGTAAAGTAGCTCATTTATACGGTATCGCTCAAGTATCTTATATGAACGCATCTTAGCCATAAATTGCTCCTCGTTGCAATGATACGCACGATCCTAGAAAAATAAAACACAGTTACCCACACAAGCTACATGTAACAAACAAATAGATTAATTCATGACAAGAATAGACAAAGCAGACAACTGTACCGAAACTGAAGGTGGAAAGAACCAAGACAAGCCACCACTGCGACCACGACTTCGTTCTTCTAGTGTCTTGCACATACACGCCATTTCTATAATCTAATGCATCATCATCACATATACCAAATTCAGCAATACAAGTTCAATCTACTAAATTACACACATAAAGGAAATCACCCTTGTTGAAATTCTGGTCCTGGGCAAAAGCTCGACCAAATCTTCACGGAGCAAGGCAAGAACCCCGCCATCAAGACTAACCAATATGTCACTGTTATACAAGACCAAGTTCAAACACCACAACATTAGAATAAGGCAAATACCAAAAAAATCCTACAAATATGATCCAATCTTACTTGTAATGATTTCGGGAGGTACCTTCCGGGAAGCTTACTACTAAAAGCAAATTGAATCATCTTTACTGCCTCCAGAGTCAATGGTGTCTTAACAACAAAGGGAGGAGCAAGGTACAAAGGTTGTGCTTTCTTAGCTCTGGGATTTGCCCGTTCGAATGGAGAGACCACATACAAACTAGGGTTCAATTTAGATACACTACGTAGTCCACCTCCCTTTCGCCCCTTTATTGTTCGAAAACATAAAAACAAAACCAGTTCATTAGTAACCACACCATAAGAACAAATAATTAGAAAACTTAATCAAGGGTAATACCTTCACAGTCTTGGCACAACCATCATTAGGAGCAACACTTTCATCACTCAACAGTATGAATTTCTCAACTTTAGACGCTTTCGCCTGCTCGCAAGGAGACTTTTTCACAACTTTGACAGAAGGAGATTCAGAACAGCTGTCATCTCCAATTTCCCCCTCAACTTCTCCCCAATTCTTAACACCTAACCCTTGAGTCTTGACACATTCGGAGGTAGGAGAAATGGGTTCACTTGGTTTTTCAACCTCACCCTTCTGATTGCCCTTTTCCCCTCTGATAAGCTGCTTTGTTGACAGCAAAACAGCTGCAGAAGCTTTCACATTATCAGGCGCATCCTTCTGATCGTTCTTTTTCAACTCAGTAGGCTGTTCGTTCTCCATTTTCACAACCCGACTCATTAGCTTCTCATCTCTAGAAGCAGCATCACCCATTGCGACTCTAAA